GTTAATAAAAAAATTACTTGAAATTTTTTTAGCCTAGCTCGAGCAATCTTTCGAGCATTTTGATTTCAATCGATCTCGAGCCGAGCTCGAGTGATTGTATTCTTTTGTCGAGTTGATCTCGAGCCTCTTAAATCGAGCTCGAGCAGCTAAAAGAAAAATAAAAAATGAAATCAATCCTTGCTCGATAAGGTCAATTTCAACTCGGTTCGGTTCGTATGCAACTCTACTTTTACCCCATCTTCAAATAATGCACGCTGATAATGCTGCCAATTTTCCATTTATTTCCCAATTCTTTCTTTAGCATTTTCCCTTCTACCGATTGATTTTTCTTTTAGGAAAAAAAAAAAAAAAAATTAAATTGATGAACACATAAGGTCAAGGGGGAAAAAGGAAACATTTAAAGAAATCTTGACAAGGAGCCCAAAGAAATAATTATTCATAATAATCCAATTTCTGATACAAAAGATCGTCTATAAGACGCAACTGTAGAGCATACTCTTGTCATATTACAAACCGAGCTCTAGAGGGCAGAGACTCGTGCTGATAACGTGTTATAAAACTAGAGAGAAAGAGAGAGAATAGAGTAAATGTATTCTCTTAGGTGTGTTTTTCATTATAACTGAAGCTCCTATTTATAGGAAACTCCTGATGGCACAAATTGTAATAATACAAATACATCGAGGGCAAAATAGTCATTCACATACATTATTTTATTATTTCATAACACCCAATTCTTTCTTTAGCATTTTCCCTTCTACCGATTGATTTTTCTTTTAGGAAAAAAAAAAAATTAAATTGATGAACACATAAGGTCAAACATCCTGTGTATCTGCAATCTGCAGAGCATGAAGAACAAATTGACCTCCCAACAGGTTGAAGTCAGATGCAAAATTGAGAAAACATGAATGGGGAGGATGCAAAATTGAGAAAATTTGAGAAACATCTTCCTGCCTTCAATTGGTCAAAGGCAGATGCAACATTGAGAAAACTTGAATGGGAAGGATGCAAAATTGAGAAAAATCTGCCTTCAATTGGTCGAAGGCAGATGCAAAATTGAGAAAACTTGAATGGGGAGGATGCAAAATTGAGAAAAACTGAGAAACATATGCAATATTGTTTCCTCTGAATTGGTTGTAAAAGAGATGGATGCAAAATTGAGAAAAACTGAGAAACATATGCAATATTGTTTCCTCTGAATTGGTTGTAAAAGAGATGGATCTTGTCGAGCAATGCAACTTTTTTCTTTTGTACTTGAGCTCGACATGTAAAATAGTGCTAGACTCGGCGCATGAAAAAAACAATAATGCTCGAGCTCGACTTGATGCCTGAGACCAACCCGAGGCTCCATGGCTCGAATTCGACTTGAAATTTTAACAACCAAATTTTAAATATAATGGTACTATTGTTAATTTAAATAGATAATTTTAGCCTTTATGCTCTAATCTTGATAATTAAACTATATGAAATATTTATGCAAATAAAAAATTGAGCAGCTCATCGAGCTTACGGGCCTTTGGAAATGATACCCGAGACTCGACTTTTGTGCTTGATTGAATTGCTCGAGCTTGAGTCGAGCATTAACTCAAGCGCTCACGAGCAATTCGTGAGCCGTTCAACTCGCTTGCTCCCTATTCGTGAGTGTACTCTTTAGTATTGAAACTTACTCCAATGCTTGACTCTTTCGTGAGTCGAGCATTAACTCAAGTGTTCTTGTTCTTCTCACCATTTCGCTTGAGAAAAATTCAATTTGTCACGGGGAAAAGATGAATATGGAATATGAGACTGCAAATATTTTTATTTCATATATTTCATAAATGATGCATAATTACGACATTATATCAAAACGTCCCACACATTATATCTTAAGAGCACCAATGATAAGAAAATTCAGAGGGGAAAAAAGAAAAAGGAGTAAAAAATAAAACGAAAGAATTTTGCAAAATGACAAAATAAAAACTTGTTACATTCAAAAGTGTGGGCATGTTGAAGTCTTACGCACTAACTGTTTACTTCAGTTTCTTATAATTATTCCCTTAGCTTTAAAATCAACGCCCTGTTTTCGTGCAATTACGTCATTCGTTTAGAGGTGGGGGACTCGAGATTATTGGCTCAATCATTATGGAATTGAATACGTGAATCTCTATATTCTGGGGAAAATAATAGCCACTTAACAATGTTTACACTATATTATGTTTAGTGTAATTAACTAAGGGGAAATTTTGGATACACTAAGGAAAAATAGCCACTTATTGCACCGTCTAACGTAAGCACATTTTATAAATAACTCCAAAAACGCAATCATTAAATCGAACGACCACCCAGGTGTTGTGTATGCAATCCTCATTATTGCACCAAAAATAGCATAGTTAATGTAATTATTAATAGTCTAATATAAGAAAAGAAAAATGGGGGTGGGAAAAAACAGCTAGGTGATTATGGTAATTTTTTAAAATGGGAAAAAGAATGGAAGATGATTTAAGAAGGTGCTAGCTGTGTAATTATCCTTTTATTATAAAGGATAACTTGAGAAAGCACCAAGTGAAACGTGAACACTCTTGATCAGACAATATTTTGCTTGAGCTATTGGAAACAAAATAATAAGTTTCTGACCAAAAGAGCATTCCTTGTTTTGCTAGTTTTGATTGTTGTGAGTTGTAAAGGATTACAATCTTTTGAAAAAATTCTATTTCCTTCATAAAATTTGAAAAACAGGATTAGTTGAACTTTTATGGTGCATCTGAACTGTAATTGCATACCCTCAACAGTCTAACCAAACCGGCCCTTTTGGTTGTCAAAATGGGTCAAGGCTATGGGCCCTCAACTAGAGAATCGACAATTTAATATAGACAAATTTACACCTATTCTACAACATTTGTAAAATATTGCATTCTTACGTACAAAATTTATGGAGCTATCGGATGGTTTTCTTATGGAGTCATCCACCACTTAATGTATTGACACCTGTCCAAATTGAATTTATTATATGACACGTGTTAATACACTGTTGGTGAATGTGGATGGCTTCATAAGTCGAGTCATCTGATAGCTCCATAGCAAAATTGTTCTTCAAAAATTGCATTCAAACCAATATTGTATCATTTAATTATATGTCTACTTAAGCCTAGTTTCCAAANAAAAACTCTCCTTAAATTCCGCTCCATAATTATAATTATATATCTACCTAATGTCAGTTTCCAAAAATAAAAACTACTCTCCTTAAATTCTGGTTCACAGTCCCTTCGTCACCCATCAACCTTCATTACTTGACTTTCGGTCAGACGAGGCTGCCAAGACACCAAGCATCTGACCGCGAATACATGACAGGGCTTGCTTTTCATGGCAGTATGGTGTACCGAGTTTTAGTTATTTTGATAATAAATATATATAAAGTGTAAATATTAGTGGACTAGATAATTTTCTCTTTAATATATGCTACTGAGAAAAGAAAAGAAAAAATAAAAACTCAGACCATAAATCCTTTACTCTATTCTAGCGTAGAGTTTCCTGTAGAAAATATCAATTTTTAACTTTCATCTCCAGCCGTTCGCGCTATATTTTACTCTGCATGAAATATATTAGTAAAAAATAAAATTTAACTACAAGTTCTACAACTATAAAATCAAAATTTGAAATTATTTAACAAATAAATAATTATATTGATGTATAGTTTATCAAAATAATATTTAAAAACAAAATCAATTAAAAAGCTAAAATTTGAAGAAAAAAATTGTAGCGCGGTGAATAGTATTGCGCTACATGTAGCGCAATACTGTTCATATATGGAGTAGTGCGATAAGTGTTCCAGTTAGCCATCGCCTTGTACTTGGGATATCGGAGTTTCTAAAGTTGCGTCTAGGACCGTGGTCCTTTCTTTCTTGGATGGTCATCGTTGGGTGTTCGCTCGTGTGGTGGTGGTTTGGAGCAGTTAACCGACTATTGGGGAGGGCATTAGTTTATCCTATCTTATTTTTCAGTTTAGGGTTTACGTGTACTTTGCAGTGTTTGTGTATGTTTTTGTTGTTTTATTCTCCTTTAAGGAGTAGAGTGCAACATTGTGAGTGTGTTGTTAGTCTAGGCTCTCTAGGTTACCATCTTCCCATTAGATTCAGCCGTGTAACCCTGAAAAAAATAAAAGAAACCAATACCACAATCTGTACGAATAAGATAATTAAATACATATATTTTTCTACTCAAAATATTTAAATACGCATACATATTTGTATCCACCTATTCCCAAGCACAATTTGTCAGGTATCCCTCATATTTTGTAACAAAATTTTCCTGATTTTACCCACTAAATCATACTTCATGAAAAGCATTCTAACAAAATTTAGTCCCTACATATTTCTTTTTTTCTTCCCCGTCTAATATTTTTGCTGAATGCATCATGTGCACTCACTTTCCTACTCTGCCAGCCTCAAAATAAACATTTAAGGTGAAAAAAAAAAGAAAATTAAAGGAAAAAGGAAAATTCAGATGTTCTTTTTCACACAAACTTTTTTGGATTTTAAAAAATGGCAAAGCACATGTTAAATCCAGGCAGGCCCCCTCAGGTCACTACCCTGACCGTTAGTTTAGGGCAGTGTCTCCCATATGTTCTAACAAAAGGATTCCTAGCAATTTTTATTCCCACAACGTAATATATTTTCTGTTTTTTCACAAATGGAGAAGAACACAAATCACAAAATAGAGGTAAAAATAAGGATAAAAAGATGAGACACAGTCCGATTTTTTGTGAAAAAAGATAAGATATGCTAACAAAAGACTCTACCTCAAGTAGGTAATATGGGACATTGGCACTTAATCATTTCATTCACATCAAAATAGTTACATAAGGCACTGAAAACCATACCCCATCTTTTTTTTTTTTCTCCTTTCTCCATTTTTATTTGTTTTGTTTATTTTTCCTTGTGTTAGGTAGGAAGATGGGATGAAGAAAATCAAATCTTACGTCTCCGAATCTTTAATTTTTTAAAAATTGGCCAGCGTGTCTACTAAAGTCACCTGAAAACATCTAGCCAAACGTGCAACTGCTAAATAATCACATAAAGTGAAAACCTTGACTACCAGCTTCAATTCCTAATTTTTTGTTTCCTCATATTTTGTGCCATATTATTTATATCGTTGAAAGTGGCAACGGACGACATGGTCATACACTCAGTTAAAGGAAAAAAAAAAAAAATCAGAACTCAACTATTCAAAATATTTACTTCAACTAGAAGAAAATTTAAAGCAATGAGCAAAGTTAATAGCAGTTAAGTTCCACTCAAACTTGGCAAGCTTCAACTCCAATTATCGTAAGGAAACCCCTATAAAATGCTAGTGATACTTTTTTGAACTAAAAACAAGAAGAGAAAAACAAAGAAATGAATGGTAGTATTAAAGTCTAAAGATTAGTCTATCAAGAAACTAGAATTCATCACTTGGTCAACAAACTTTGAAACAAGAAAAAAAAAATGTAGGGATAATACCTTTACAGTTTTGAAAGCATTCTGAAAGCATATACACTTACTGAAATAATTCTTAGAAAAAGAAAACATGCATGTATCAATTTCATAAGTAAAGCAGAAAAAAATCGATCCATAATTGTCAAAAATGCGTAACACCAATGACAAAGAAATGCGAGTGTTAACGAAAGAGACAAACTGGGTGAGAGTGAACTACTGACCCAAAAGGCTGTGATTGAGAATGAATAGGGGAAAATGGTACTTGCAGAAAGAGTTAATGCAAGTACATTGGACAAAAATGGTGGTGTGATGTATGTATTCAACGACAATAATCATCAATATCTCTATCTCCAATACGGTATTGGTAAAAAAAAATTAATTTCATTAGGGACAAAAATGAAGGGCTACAGAAAGTAAAACCAGGAAAAAACACCCAATTGGGACAAGAAAAGAAAGAGGAGTCAAATTTTGTTCGATGATCTTGTTGACTGTTAAGGCCACTCAATATGACCCAACATGTAAGCATTTACCTCCATAAGAAATTTTCTTCATGATGCATTAAGATTTCCTTTTTCTTAGTGGGGGAATGCAATTCCAAGTACAGCCATATGCTTGGCACGTTCCCAGCCCCACCACCATCACCATCAAGATTTTTCCGTATCTGCGTAAAAACGGGTAAGATAATCGTGGTTAAAATTGAACCTCATCTTTGTTAAAGTCATCAATACACTAAAGTAATTAACAAATGAAAGTACAACAACTCCAGTAAACACTGTCTTGTTGGGGCACAAGACATTCAGAAGTGATTCTGCTGCAATGATTTTCTCATGGCAGCAAAAAAATTACCAATTATTGACCTTCATGCATATTTATGTATTTTTATAATCGTCATCTTGACTATATATATATATATATATATATATATATATATATATAACTCACCAACCTCCAAAATAGCACTGCCTTTTATTACCATAGAATGAATTATTACATCTCACTTGAATAGACACAATAGTTAATCTTTCATGTGATGTTTCTGCAAGTCTAAGCAGAGAACAGTTAATGATATATCGAGAAATTCTAGAAAAATCACGTTAATGGTAAGTGCGTTAAAGCAATCACTTTATAAATCGATACTTGTGGGCGTGGCTCCAGAGAAGTAAATGGAATCTAAATCAATCCAAATGGAATTGAAAGGGAAAAAAAAAATATGATCAGGTTAGGTACTAAGCACGCTATATTTACCCTGTTTATAACTAATGAAATGGTCATTTCAGTCTACAATGATATGACTCCTGAACACACTAATGCTTCCAACAATGTCCAGAGCAAGGAATCCAACTAATATTGAAATATGATCGAAATAGAGAGTGCACACATCTAATATATTTAAAAATTAGTAACAGTTTAACAAAAAGTGGTTCTTCTAGCAAGTTTCCACTTTGAGCAAAGGGATTGTAATCCCCAATGTCCTCCTATTCATCCAAGTCTAAAACCCAATACAGTAGAAAACATTTCACTTGGCTGACAATCATCACCATAATTTTAAATTGACTTATCGACCCATTTTCTTCCTGGGCCGTTTCCTTCCACATCAATTATTCTCTCTCTTCATGATGTAAGCACTTTTTTTTTGCATTTTCCAATTCAATAAAATTATCCAATATCAAACCTGTATATAGTAGCATCGTTATATGGATTCCCTAGATTATATGATCCATGACAATCATGTAAGACATGCAACATCCATATACATGTAACTGGCCCTCAAATGCATCTACATATATACACCAATTTCACATCCAGGATGCTACATAACCACATGCATATATTTGGCAAACAGTCCTCCCATCTCATCTTTAAGGAATTCCACTGTGCTCTTAATCTCGCAACATGTGGCCCACGCGCACCACAATATCCCCCCTCCCTATAAATTCACCAAGTCTCCCTTTGCCTTTCAACTACCACAGCTGATTGCCATCTTAACATCTCCCTGAACTCATTCCATAACCTTTCTCTCCATAAATTTTCCCCATTTAATATTTAAGGAATGCAACCCAGTGAAATTACTGAGCTCTCTTATCTATTCCCTTCAAACCCCAACCAATACTTCCCTGTAAATTTCAGCTTGAACAATAACAACATACCAGCATATCAATTTAGCAATCTTGTAAACCCTCTATACCAACTCAACAACAACACCCAGTTCCAAGAACTAAACACCCCACAACAGACGAGCCTCAGCAGTAACTCAACCTCCGATGAAGCGGACGAGCAGCAGCTGAGTATAATAAACGAGAGGAGGCAGAGGAGGATGATCTCGAATAGGGAATCCGCGCGTAGGTCCCGCATGCGCAAACAGAAGCACTTGGACGAGCTCTGGTCCCAGGTCATGTGGCTCAGGGATGAGAATCACCAGCTCGTCAACAAGCTGAATCACGTGTGTGAAAATCACGACCAGGTGGTCCGGGAGAATGCCCGGTTAAAAGAGGAAACTCTCGAGCTTCGTGAGATGATTACTAACATGCAGCTCAACAGTCCTTACCCTGGGCTCAGTGGGCTTGAGGATGACCCCTGCATTGACTTGGCCTAAATTATATCAATAAGTACTGAGACTGATTTTCTCGAGTTCTCGTATTCTGTGCTGAGGCTTATCAAGTCATATGTTGTCTTCACTTGAAGATTGCAGTCCATTTTGTTATCTCTCGGTGCAATAGTTAAAAGGAATCTGTGATGGTGTCGTTAAAATCTAAAGTATTTTCTCAAGGAGCAAATTCCTTCCCATGAGTATCCAGTAAATTGACACACACTTCATACGCTAAAATTACTCACTCAAAACCATGAACTGACTTATCACGAGGTATATTTTGAAGTAATTCTGATTGTAGCATGTCCAAGAACTACGTAGTGCACGTCAGCATATCAAAAGCAATCAAAATTAGAAGAAACAGAAAATTATTGCTTGCAATACTGTCAGAAGTAGAGACACGTTGTGATCAAATCAGCACGTTATTGTGCCAGGAAAACCATGTGTGAACCAGAAAGCAACTGTCTTGGATAAACAAACGAAAGAACAAAGGAGCAAAACATTACGCACAAGTCTTGCTATTACCGACCTAACCTATATTTTTTAGAGTGCTGTAGCTAGTTTTGGCTAATCAATATGCCCTCCTCCAGCATTAAAGGAACCTCTGTAGTAGCTAGATTTAGCAATGAGGAAACACAGTGTTTTTGTTGGTCTGAAGTTTACCGAATTCTCACCTTACATTTGTTCTTGTCAAATAGCAATTGTCTGATCCTTCCTCTTTGTAAACCTGAAAATTAAATAACACAAAAACAAAAAAATCCTTATTCAATCGTTGCTAAAACAGATTTTCATGGTAACAGCTGTTACAGCACATTTCATTCAGTTACTTGGGTAGTATAACAGTCAAATCACCATGAATTTTCAAGGACTCCTCAAATAGGATAGGAGAATACAAAATTATCACCGTAACTATTGATTCAATCGCAGCCACAACTCACTAGCAGCTAACTGACACTTTCTCATAACAAATTTGCTCCTCCCGTAAACCATTGCTCGATTACATATTCTTCGGATTTTAATCTACCACTGGAACCAATCTTCAGCTAAACCTTGAGCCGAATCATAATTTGCAAACAAACAACAAACAAACAAGAATACAAGAGGCAGGCAATAATCCTACAATTAACGAGTTCAAAATAGTTACAGAAATTTTACCTGCATTCAGTCTGGAGCTCGCATCTCTGTGAATTCTCATGCGAAGGATTCGGGGCTTAGCTCGAATCAAAGGCGGGTTGGTAGGTTACTGTTCGATTCAAATGGTAGAGATCTTATCTCGCGGGTTGTATTTGTTTTCGCGGTAGTACAAAAATCGACGTAAGTAATGTTTGGCTAAATAGCAGCCTCTGTATTGTATTTTTCTCCCCATATT